GCAAATCAAGCAAGCTATTTCAATAAGTACATTATCTGACATTACCGCCCTCTAAGGTGTCTTAATGCTGGTAGAAGTTTTAGCATAAATGAAAATCTGGATCAGTACTCACCGGCGTACATCGCCTCATATTTAAGTACCTTTTTCACTCAATCTTCTCGCTTTAGCTTCAATATTCTGTTCTATTCTGCGGCAGGATATGTACATATCACTCAATATTTTTCTGCCGCTCCCGGTAGGGTACTTCCATCATCTCTACTTCTTCAGCTTCCAACAATCGCATTATCATCTTTCACTTTTTCTTTTCTATCTCCGATCATCATCCTTAAACGGCACATTATCATGTCCACCCTCAAATTTCTTCTACTGGCGCTCGAGGGAAAATATCATTCAACCCATTGCTTCCTTGTCATCTATTCGGTTGTCCATCCGCACTGTACCGACACCGCACATTTTGTCGAATCCTTCATCTTTCAGCTGCATACCTTCCCCCATTGCCTCAGCCTTCCATAATATTTTTATTTTTTTCATCAAAACCTGATTTCATTATGGCTGGATCCGGTATATCATTACTATTCCAGCCCAATTTCAAATTTCCTACACATGCAACAAGGAGCAATACAATAGCACACCTTGGCTAATTCTTCCGCGATCTCATTCTGCTCTATAACGTATTGCAACAGGTCTCAACATCCGCCTCCCTCGTGTATTTCGCGCTGTCCACAAAATCTATTGAAGCCGTTGCGACTATCTATCCCCATGCAGTTTGTCCAGCGACATCATACCCTCAGTCTGCTAAATGTACTACTATAATTATTAAACTACCGAACCAAATCACACAACTACCTCAGTACATTTCATCGACTCTGTTATTACATTACAAAACAAATGCTAACATACGTTCCCATTATATCATTTAACAATATCAAATTTATGCTTCTACAATAACAATATCCATTTTGAACGTATCGTAGGAAACTAGATTTATCCGATCCAAAATTGCACTCTGCGCTGCTGCATTAGCAGAAGGCTTCTATCGGCATTATAGATCACTATAGTAGGTGCCTTCACATTTCCAA